TTAATGGTTAGCAGAAAAAAAAGGTCCTTCCGAGATTTGAACTCGGAACACTGGATTCAAAGTGCAGAGTGCTAACCATTACACAACAGAACCACACGTTTCTTATCTGAGATTCTAAGTTTTTTGTCTATCTCTAACCAGTTGAAACAAGGAAAACATGAAATATTTATTTTTTTTAACAAAAAAAAATGGTTCTACCGAGATTTGTACTCGGATTGCTGGATTCAAAGACCAGAGTGCTAACCATTACACCATATAACCAGACAATTCTTTCTTAGGTTAATAAGTATTTTGTCTATCTGAAATCAGTTTTAACCGGCAAAACAATAAACCTCTTTAATGGTTAGCAAAAAAAAAGGTCCTACCGGGATTTGAACTTGGATCGCTGGATTCAGAGTCCAAAGTGCTAACCATTACACCATAGAACCTGATAAACCTTCGCACAGTTACTAAGTTGTTTGTCTATCTCAAACCAGTGGAAAAGGGTAAAAGATTAAATCTTTTTTTAGTTTTACTAAAACAAAAGTCCTACCGAAATTTAACTTGGATCACTGGATTCAGAGTCCAGAGTGCTAACCATTACACCATAGAACCAGATAAATCTTGGCACAGTTATGAATTTTTTTGTCTCTAAACAGTTAAAACAAGGAAAACATGAATTTTTTTTTCTTTTTACCAAAAAAAAGGTCCTACCAAGATTTGAACTCGGATTGCTGGATTTAGTCTAGCGTGCTAACCATTACACCATGCAACCAGACAACTCTTACTTTAGTTAATAAGTATTTTGTCTATCTAAAATCAGTTTTACCCGGAAAAAAAATAAACCTCTTTAATGGTTAGCAGAAAAAAAAGGTCCTACCGAGATTTGAACTCGGAACGCTGGATTCAAAGTGCAGAGTGCTAACCATTACACAGTAGAACCAACTTTTCTTATCTGAGATACTAAGTTTTTTGTCTATCTCTAACCAGTTGAAACAAGGAAAACATGAAAATTTATTTAAAAAAAAAAAAAGTAGTCCTACCGAGATTTGAACTCAAATCCATGGATTCAGAGTGCTAACCCTAACACCATAGAACCTGATACATTTTAGCTTTGAGATTTGAACTCAGATTGCTGGATTGAGAGTCCAGCGGGCTAACCATTACACCATAGAACCTGATAAATATTAGCACAGTTACTAAGTTCTTTGTCTATCTACAAACAGTTAAAACAAGGAAACATGAAAACTTTTTTATTTTTACCAAAAAAAATGTCCTACTGATATTTGAACTTGGATCACTGGATATAAAGTCCAGAGGGCTAACCATTACACCATAGAACCTGACAAATCTTGGCACAGTTACTAAGTTTTTTTGTCTCCAAACAGTTAAAAAAAGGAAAACATTAACTCTTTTTTCTTTTTACCAAAATAAAGGTCCTACCAAGATTTTAACTCAGATTGCTGATTGTATTTTAGTTAATAAGTATTTTGTCTATCTAAAATCAGTTTTAACCGGCAAAACAATAAACCTCTTTAATGGTTAGCAGAAAAAAAAGTCCTACCGAGATTTGAACTCGGACCGCTGCATTCAAAGTCCAGAGTGCTAACCATTACACCATAGAACCACACACTTAATAGTTGAGATAATAAGTCCTATGTCTATCTTCAACCAGTTTTCACCAGCAAAACACAATATTTTTTTATTGTTAGCAGAAAAAAAGGTCCTACCGAGATTTGTACTCGGATCGCTGGATTCAGAGTCCAGAGTGCTAACCATTACACCATAGAACCTATTATATCTTAGCACAGTTTTTAAGTTCTTTGTCTATCTAAAACCAGTTGAAAAGGGTAAAACATGAAATCTTTTTTATTTTTACCAAAATAAAGGTCCTACCGAGATTTTAACTCAGATCACTGGATTCAGAGTACAGAGTGCTAACCATTACACCACGCAACCAGACAACTCTTACTTTAGTTAATAAGTGTTTTGTCTATCTAAAATCAGTTTTAACCGGTAAACCAATAAACCTCTTGAATGGTTAGCAGAAAGAAAAGGTCCTACCAAGATATGAACTCAGTTCGCTAGATTCAGAGTCCAGAGTGCTAACAATTACATCATAGAACCTGATAAATCTTAGCACAGTTACTAAGTTCTTTGTCTATCTACAAACAGTTAAAACAAGGAAAAAATGAAATCTTTTTTATTTTTACCAAAAAAAAGGTCCTACTGATATTTGAACTCGGATCACTGGATTGGGAGTCCAGAGTGCTAACCATTACACCATAGAACCTGATAAATCTTAGCACAATTACTAAGTTCTTTGTCTATCTACAAACAGTTAAAACAAGGAAAACATGAAATCTTTTTTAATTTTTCTTAAAACAAAGGTCCTACTGAGATTTGAAATTGGATCACTGGATTCAGAGTCCAGAGTGCTAACCATTACACCATACAACCAGACAACTCTTACTTAGGTTAATAAGAATTTTGTCTATCTAAAATAAGTTTTAACCGGCAAAACAATAAACCTCTTTTTTGGTTAGCAGAAAAAAAAGTGCTACCGAAATGGGTAAAACATTAAATCTTTTTTATTTTTACCAAAACAAAGGTACTACTAAAATTTGAACTCAGATCACTGGATTCAGAGTCCTGAGTGCTAACCTTTACACCATATAACCAGATAAGTTTTGGCACAGTTACTAAGTTTTTTGTCTCTAAACAGTTAAAACAAGGAAAACATTAAATCTTTTTTATTTTTTTAAAACAAAGGTCCTTCCGAGATTTGAACTTGGATCACTGGATTCAGAGTCCAGAGTGCTAACCATTACACCATACAACCAGACATCTCTTACTTAGGTCAATAATTATTTTGTGTATCTAAAATCAGTTTTAACAGGCAAAACAATAAACCTCTTTAATGGTTAGCAGAAAAAAAGGTCCTACCGAGATTTGAACTCGGATTGCTGGATTCAGAGTCCAGAGTGCTAACCATAACACCATATAACCTTATAAATCTTGGCACAGTTACTAAGTTCTTTGTCTATCTACAAACAGTTAAAACAAGAAAAACATGAAATCTTTTTTATTTTTACCAAATTAAATGTCCTACCGAGATTTGAACTCAGATTGCTGGATTCAGAGTCCAGCGTGCTAACCATTACACCATAGAACCTGATAAATCTTCACACAGTTACTAAGTTGTTTGTCTATTTCAAACCAGTGGAAAAGGGTAAAACATTAAATCTTTTTTAATTTTACAAAAAACAAAGGTGCTACTAAAATTTGAACTCAGATCACTGGATTCAGAGTCCAGAGTGCTAACCTTTACACCATATAACCAGTTAAATCTTGGCACAGTTACTAAGTTTTTTGTCTCTAAACAGTTAAAACAAGGAAAACATTAAATCTTTTTTATTTTCACCAAAACAAAGGTCCTACTGAGATTTGAACTTGGATCACTGGATTCAGAGTCCAGAGTGCTAACCATTACACCATACAACCAGAAATCTCTTACTTAGGTCAATAATTATTTTGTGTATCTAAAATCAGTTTTAACCGGCAAAACAATAAACCTCTTTAATGGTTAGCAGAAAAAAAAGGTCCTACCGAGATTTGAACTCGGATCGCTGGATTCAGAGTCCAGAGTGCTAACCATTACACCATAGAACCTGATAAATCTTAGCACAGTTACTAAGTTCTTTGTCTATCTACAAACAGTTAAAACAAGGAAAACATGAAATCTTTTTTATTTTTACCAAAAAAAAGGTCCTACCGAGATTTGAACTCAGACTGCTGGACTCAGAGTCCAGCATGCTAACCTTTACACCATAGAACCTGATAAATCTTCGCACAGTTACTAAGTTGTTTGTCTATCTTAAACCAGTGGAAAAGGGTAAAACATTAAATCTTTTTTTAGTTTTACTTAAACAAAGGACCTACCGAAATTGAACTCGGATCACTGGATTCAGAGTCCAGAGAGCTAACCCTTACACCATTGAACCTGCTAAATTTTAGCTTTGAGATTTGAACTCAGATTGCTTGATTCAGAGTCCAGCGGGCTAACCATTACACCATAGAACCTGTTAAATCTTAGCAAATCAGTTTTAACCGGCAAAACAATAAACCTCTTTAATGTTTAGCAGAAAAAA